AAATATTGAGAAAATCGCCTTTAAAGTTGTCCAAATGAAGTTCAATGCATATTACTAATCAAAAATTAAGTTTTGATATATTTACGGTAGGAAATTTACAAAATATCTTCATGGAGCATGATCTTTACTTAATATCCTAATGATTTTTGACAAAAGAAAAATCGATAATTTTGACCCATACAATGTATTTTTGGCTACTGCTACAAATATACCCCAGCGACTTAAGACTGGTTTTGTGGTCCAGGGTCACATATATGAAAGTATGTGTCTTTAAAATAAAAGTGAAATAATATAATACACAGTCTATGTGACGGATACACTGCATGTTGGAGTTTTTAATGTCGTCTCCAGGCATTGTGGTGATGTTGAGTCTCACAGCGCTGGTAAACTGACTCATCAGCTGACTCTGGAAGTCTTCCCTGCGCTCGTACTCCTTCCCACGGTGCATGAAAACCTTATTCTATTGAAATCAAATATAACAAAACATCATCATCTAGATTACATTACATATCTGTATCGTACGTATTCTTGTGTATGCCTGTTGTGTGTCTCTATGGTTTCTGCTGTCCTAGGTTAAGTAGCAACACCTGTTGATAACCAGCGCTCCTGAGTGTCAACCTCTGCTGATTCGCTCTTGCAACTGTGTGCCCTGCCATAAAAGCCGGCTAGTTTTCCAGTGCTTGAGGGGCGGGAGGTTTTTCCTCTGTCTCTCTTGCAAAGAGTCCCTGACGCCTGTTGCAGACATGTGGTTTCCTTTTCTTTTTGTTTGTGTTGTTGATTGTTATAGGACTCTTTTCATTGAACCCCTGAGTGCAGAGCAAGTTGTTTCATGTTTTGTTTTGCTATTTTCTCAATACTTTATATTTTAATTTAAGGTAGCTGTAGGGAGGTGGGTGCCATTTGTTTTATATACTTTTTCTCCTGTTTATAGGTAGTAAGGGAGGTAGGTTTAATATTGTCTTTTGTTTGCATCGTTATTTTGTGTTTAGGTTATTTAGTTTACTAAAATAGTTAGACCTATGTTTTGTTTGTTATTTTGGCCATTACCCCCTCCTGAATTTAATTGCTTCCATGTAAGATCTTCCGTTTTCTTTGTTACTGTTTTTCCTATGTTCCCTAAATAAATCTTTTTTTTTTGCTTGATTTATGGTTCGGGTGTTGAATCAGTGCTGGGACGGGAGACAGGGACTCTGAAGACGTACAATTTGTTTAGTTCATTTGAATTCTTTATTTATTTATTTAATTTCATCTGTTCCTTCTCTACCCTAGACAGGGGAGTTCGTAACATAAATAAATAAAAATTATTGAATAATATAACGAACAATAAAATGTATGCAAAAGTGCATAAAAATAAAAGAAAACTAAAAAAATATACATAGGGAAAAAAAGAATAAAAAATCAAGAATATAATATAATAGTATGCAAAAGTGCAAAACCTTCATAGATAACAAAAATGTAAAAATAAATAGATAAAAATAATTTAAAATTAGGAGTTTGTGCATTACCAGTTTTTGTCCGAGCAGCTCGTAATCGAAGACCTCCATCTCGCACTGATCTGCTAACTCCTTACACAGAGTGATGGCCTCCTCCCACATCTGACATGCACAAATCATGTTCACACACATACATACACAGTTAAACATTCATGAGGTCAGTATTCAACATCCAGTCACATCTATTTAATATTAATCCGTTCATGTGAAGATGAGCTGACCTTTCCCTTATCAAAGTAGCTGATGATGGTGTTGTAGAGCGTTTCTTTGAGCTGTCGCTGGGACTGAAGCGTCTGATAGTCCAGCTGAAGGGTGCACTGCTCCTCTGACCACTGCAAACACATAACATTATATAACCGTCTAAACAAGATTATTACATGCCCTTAAGACAATATAGCTGGTTCTTGGCCATGAAAAACTGCCCGGTGATGCTCCATGAGATGATTAATTAGAAACTAATAATCAAGGAATTGTAGTGCAATACACATCTCATTATTAGATAAACAGGGTTAACATTGATTGGAATCATGAAATGGAATCCTATTTTCATTATTGAAATAAAATAAATAAAAATAATCCAAATGTCCCCTCAAAGACAGTCAAACTTGAAATGAGCCAAAACTGGACGTCACTTCCTGTTTACCTGTTTATCTATTAATGAGATGCATATTATACTAAATTCCTTGAAAATATATTCTCCATGAGGACAAAGATTAATAAACACACCAAAATAATATTTTAATGAATATATAAAAATGCAAAAATGTTTCTGTGAGGATTAAGTTTAGTGGATAAAAATAGAATTAGCTCAGTAGAATATACCAGAAGTCCTCATGAAGATACAGAACTAAATGTCTGTGTATTTGTTGACCTTAAGTAGTTTGGAGTGCAGCAGAAGTGTATAAGCCGCCTCTGTGTAGTTTTCTCCATCCTATCAGTTTTACTCGTAGTTCACTGTATGAAGAATTTTGGGTGATAATATGTCACTTTGAGTGTAATATGTCAATGTATATATATATATATGTGTGTGTGTGTGTGTGTGTGTTTATACTGTAAGTGATAAATTTACATTTATATAATATACACTATACCAGTCAAACGTTTTTGAACAGTAAGATTTTTAATGTTTTTTAAAGAGTTCTCTTCTGCTGACCAAGACTGCATTTATTTGATCCAAAATACAGCAAAAGCAGTAATAGTGTGAATTTTTTTTCCAATATTTAAAATAACTTCTTTCTACTTGAATATATGTTAAAATGTAATTTATTCCTGTGATGCAAAGCTGAATTTTCAGCATAATTACTCCAGTCTTCAGTATCACATCCTTCAGAAATCATTCTAATATGCTGATTTGCTGCTCAAGAAACATTTCTGATTATTATTATTATTATTACCATTCAAAAGCTTTCATTTAAGAAGGATGCTTTACATTGATCAAAAGTGATGATAAAGACATTTATAATGTTACAAAAGATTTCTATTTCAGATCAATGCTGTTCTTCTGAACATTCTAAGAAAATTGAAAATTTCTACTCAGCTGTTTTCAACATAATAATAATAATAATAATAATAATTTTTTTTTCATCAGCAAATCAGCATATTAGAATGATTTCTGAAGGATCATGTGACACTGAAGACTGGAGTAATGATGCTGAAAATTTAGCCTTGCATCACAGGAATAAATTACATTTTACAATATATTACAATGGAAAGCAGTTATTTTAAATGGTAAAACTATTTCACAATATTACCACTTTTGCTGTATTTTGGATCAAATAAATGCAGTCTTGGTCAGCAGAAGAGACTTCTTTAAAAAATCTTACTGTTCAAAAACTTTTGACTGGTAGTGTAATTTTTCTGTCTCAATATTCACTTCTCTCAGATCATAACAAATGGCTTCCATATTTACCACAAGGAGGCAGTATTACATAAAGCCATTAGGCTTAAAGTGATTTTTACCATGGTTAAGGGGTGTTAAGGTATGTACTACATGAAGCAGAGAGTCTAAACCCCCCTGAAGTATGGCTTTACTCTTAGAAATGTATTTTAAGAGAAATATGATAATAAAAAAAATATTCAAAACTAACTGTTAAATATAAAAATGAATAAATGCAATAAGCAATTCCTACATTGATTTGTATTGATATTGTACTGTACTGAATATTGTGTATTATACTGTACATTACATTATACAGTACAGTACATACATACTAATGCATATCTGCACATTTGTCTATTCTATTCTATTCTATTCTTCCAGCAAGCCATCAAGAATCAAGTTCATTAGTCTTACTGTAGGTAAATTATAGATACAAACTGGTGCAGAACTGATGTGCATCATGATTTCACATTATGAATTACTGTCATTTTCATAATATCTCGATCTTTCTCTCTCATTTCACAAGTCAAAGGTCATGACGAAAATAAAATGTGGTTATAAATAAACTAGACGATCTCCATTTGTCATTCATTAAAGCTGAGTAATCAATGTTTCTCCACGACGTGACACATAATTTGATCATTTTTACTGACAATAAGAAACATCTGAATCAGAAGCAGAGACGCATTCATTCATCTCACACTGACAATCGGTCATGTTTTACCCTGCAGAATGCCTCTCTGCAGACACACTCATTTATGTTTAATGTGCCTGTAAGGTAGCAGTATGTCAAACAACATGGACGGCGTCTCGTTCAGTCCGTCCGGTCCGTCTCTATGCTTGGATGCTTATCCTTTGGATTTTGACATTAATTCAGCAAGACCAAGATAATCTCCTGTCAGATTACACAACCGACACACACACACACACACACACACACAAGCACGTACAATCACAGTCACACACACAGAGTTAATATGAAAATTACCTGATGTACATCCCCTCACGGTTGATGTCCTTGTAGAAATTCTGAAAAGCAATGAAACGCAAACGTTAACTTTGAGCCTCTGTGTTGATGTTTCTCTGAAGATGAGTGTGTGTTTTTTGGGAGCTTCTGATATGTAATGCAAAATTATGATGATGGATTTCTCAAGCTTTTAAATGTGACACACACCGATATGATGCTTATTTATAGTTTATTCATATATTGAAGTAATTTCCACCCTGACAGATTAAAGTTGCAGCGGCGACAGTCAGAAAACAAGCAGAAGAAACTCAAATCTCGAATGAATTATTAGAAAAAGATGAATATTTTATGGAGCAGAGGAGTTAATATAGAGATCCTGTTGTATTACTAAAGGTTTAATTTGTTAATTGTGTGTGTGTGTGTGTGTGTGTGCGTGTGTGTGCGTGTGTGTTCATTTAGAGGAAATATTCTACCTAGATCTTTGCGTATGAATCATTTAAAGAGGATGAAAGCTGACAGATTCATCACTGCAAGAAAATGAACTTGATGGCTGAACTCAAATTTAAAACATGGTCATGTGGGAATCGCTTCACAATAACTCTTCTGAATGTTTTCATTATTATTTTTTCCTGAAACGCTCAGGTCCGTCCTTCATTAGCTGTGTTTCCATCCATTTAAATTATGCATAGAAATGAATAAAAAGTGAACAAGGCAACGTTTCAATCCCAAGTGCTCAAGGAAACAAAACTGGGAAAAGTGTAAAATAAAAAAAGAAATAGAAGTTGTATCTAGGGAAGAAACTGTGGATCTTTTATTAAATGTAATAAATGACTTGTGGTTTAGAGCCACAGACAAAATTTTACAGCAAAGTTGAGTGAATTATTCAGTCACATGAAATCACCATTTGGAATCAACTGCACAAACTTTACATTTTTTTGGACATTTTTGATGTGCATCTTGAAATTGATTTGGTTATTGTGTTTTGATTTGAGTTTATATGCTGATCCATATTTTGAACTTTTATTTGCATCTTGATGTTTCCATATGGACATTTTAATGAGCACATCCTTCCTTATGCACTAACGAGTAACGAGTTACACTGTGAAGTTTAATAGTTTAATAGAGTCAGGTGTTTATTTAATAGAATTATATGTTTTTGAAAGAAGTCTCTTTTGCTCACCATGGCTGCATTTATTTGATCAAAAATACAGTAAAGATATTGTGATACTGTGAAATATTATAACCATTTAAAATAACTATTTTCTATTTTTTTCTATTTTCTATTTTAAAATGTAATTTATTTCTGTGATGGCTGTGAAGACTGGAGTAATGGCTGCCTAAAATTCAGCTTTGCATGACAGGAATAAAATACATTTTAAAAATATATTACAAAAGAAAACCGTTATTTTAAATTGTAATAATATTTATTGTTTTTACTGTAGTTTTTGACCAAATAAATGCAGCCATGGTGAACAGAAGAGACGTCTTTCAAAAACATAACAAAATCTTAATCATGCCAAACTTTTAACCGGTAGTTTGTGTATTTATACTTTTTACAGTATTTATTAATATTTTAAATTAACTTTTATTTTTAGATTTTCAATTTTCATTTTCATTTTAGTTTAAGTTTTACTAATTTTGTTATGTGCTTTTGTCATTTTATTACTTTTTGTTTTTTATTATTTCTATTTAGCTTTAATTTATTTTTTATTCCGTTTTTAGTCATTTTAGAACTTTAACTTATTTTTTGTTATTTTAGTTGTCAAGGCAGCAGTTTTTCACGTTTAAGTGTTTCATCTAACATTTATATTTAATTTTATTTCAGCTTTATTTCAAGCTTTATTTTTAATGGTTTTAGTGAATAACTGTTCATTATGGACAGGATCTGCTTTTTAACCTCCAGATTTTATGATGGAATATTAATCTAAGTAAGTTAACAGGTCAGTTCAGAAGTTTAGTTCTGAACAACACATGGTTCATTTGGGCCCATCAGCAGACCAAGAACTCAAACCGATCTGAGCAGATCAATCAGAGAACCACTTTATGTCTGTGATGTGTGAAGTGGGCGGGGCTTACCAGAAGATTGACAGTGCAGCTCATGCGGTTGTTTCGACTGTCCTCGCTCATCACCGAGCGGTAGTCAAGGAGACGCTCCAGGAGGCCGGTCACCAGGGTAACAAAGTGCTGCACCTCAGTCAGCAGCTGGGGGCGTCCCTGAGCGCACTCTAAAAGACTGAAGCGGCACACAGTCAGAACAGCTCATGCTTTCAGGAGATTTCAGGAGGATTTGGAGCTTCTTATGGAGTCAAGCCATCATTATACAAGACCACAGTGTGTGTGTGTGTGTGTGTGTGTGTGTGTTCGTACATGCTCTGTAGCAGTTCCATATATCTCTCGTCTCCTCCTCCCCCTTCCACTTCATGATCCAACTTCAGGATGATCTCGTTCTCAAACTGAGAGGCAGAGATAGAGACTTCATTAATAAGTTCAACAGTATCAATGTGCATTTGCTACTCTGTGTGTGTGGGCAGCTTTTTCTCTGTTTTTTGAAAAGCATAACTAATAGAATAGCAAAATCTAGTTGTTGTGACGTCCCAACAAGGAAAGCGTTCATAAATGGAAAAAATGTGTCTTATTTCAAACCTAAACATGCTAAAAGTCTTAATAAGGTCTGAGCAGATTTTCACCATTTCATAAAAACATTTTTACATGTTTAAATCCATTCCTCAGAATTATGGAAATATTCAATAAGCATATATTTTCCTAATATTTTAAATACGTTTTAAACCCATTTTGTAAAATTATAGAAATATTCAATAGAATGCTTTTAAAATATTTTAACACATTTTACCATGTTTAAATCCATTTCCTTGAAATACAGAAATACTCCAGGAAATATCCAGGGGAAAAAAATTATCACATTTTACAATGTTTAAATCCATTTCTCAGAATTATAGAAATATCCCAGATTTAAAAAAAATATATTTAACACATTTTTCCTTGTTTAAATTAATTCCTCAAAATCCTTAATGTTCCATCAATTGTTTTTTTTTTTATATATATTTTAACATATCTTATCATGTTTATCTATTCCATACAATTATAGTAATATTCCACATACATATTTAATAAAATATTCCATTAAAATGTTTTAAAGTATTTTAAGCACATTTTACTTATTTGAACAATATAAAATAATAAAAATGAATGTTCAGTCCCCATAACTGTACACAGTATATACATGTTTTGGAATGTCAATTGTAACATGTCATTTGCATGTAAAAAGGTTGAGTTTAGCTTATATTAAGAACAAGAGAAGTCAAGTTGAGGCTATGATATAAAAACAGATGTGTGTGTGTCTCTGAACCTTTCTGAAGTTTCCGGAGTGGTTTTCTTCACACTGCATCATGTCAAAGAATATGGGGATGGTTGCTCTCCGCAGCTCTTCCTCCGGGATAAGAGTCATCTCCAGGATGGGACCCACCATCCCGGGAATGAAACAGATCTTATTCTTACCGAGCTTGTACCACATGTCTCTGATAGCGAAACCAATCAGCCTCCTCATATCTCCATATCTGAATGAAAGCAAGCAAGCATGTTTACGCATTTTTTGTTTTACTATAGTTGTGAAAGCCAGATTTTTGTAATAAACATGGTTCATCTGTGAGCAGTTTAACTGGGATATTTCTCACTTCGCCAGAATCTTGCTCCTTTTGGTGGGAGAGAAATGCTGCAACTGCAAAGACTCCTGGGTAATAAACGCCACAGCCAAATGGAAGTAATTATTCCATAACTACAGGAGAGAGAGAGAAATCATGATAAAATGACATTTGGTGAGAGATATGAGGGCTATTAACACTAATTGAATCTGAACTTGATCAAGCTCATTTAAGACACACACACACACACACACACACACACACACACACACAAAAGCTGTTGTTGTCGAGGAACTTGTGGTTCATGGTGTCGGCGTATGTGTTGATTGCTCGGAGAAACACCCTGATTGGATGAACATATTAGGGTTATTATAATTAACCAAAACTTAAAAGAGTTAGTTCATCCAAAAATGAAAATTAGCCCATGTTTTACTCACCCTCAAGGCATCCGAGGTGTATATGACTTTCTCATTTGATCAAGTGTCTGTATCGCAATCTTTTCATTAACCTAATTTTTCTTATTGAGTCATTATTGAGTCTTTTAATAAGCTCTGACCTGCACTTCAAAGTTGTTGTTGTCGAGGAACTTGTGATTCATGGTCTCAGCGTATGTGTTGATCGCCCGGAGAAACACCCTGATTGGACAAACATTCCAGGGTTATTGTAGTTAACTGAAACTTAATACATCAAAAAAAAAAAAAAAACAGTACTTGAAACAAAATAAACATCAACTGAAACTAAATAAAATATAAAAAAGTAAACATAATTGTCAAAGCAACATTTATTTTCATTTAGTTTACACAGAAATACTAAAATAATTAACTAAAACTAAACCTGATAAATAAATAAATGTAAAAAATAAAAATGTGTCTTCAGAATTATAGAAATATTCTAGAGAAATACTGAACAAATTGGACGAACATACCTGGGCTATTATAGTTAACTGAAACTTAAATTATAAGACATTTTCTTTATCTTTATCTTTATCTTTATCTATAAAATAAAAATACAAGTATATAAAAATACATATTTCAGATAATTGGCTAAGCAACATTTCTTATTTTCATTTAGTTAACTTGATGTAAGTTGCTTTGGATAAAAGCGTCTGCTAAATGATTAATGTAAATGTAAATGTAAATGTACTAAAATGACTAAACTAAAACTGAAATAAAAATTATTTAAAAAAAAAATACTGTACATAGACAAAAAACAACACTTGATAAAAAAATGAATGAAAAACACGTCAAAATTACGAAAGCATTAAAATTAAAACAGTAAATTAAAAACATATATGAATAAAAACTATAATATCTCAATGATACAAAGATAACACTACAACATAAAAGCACACTGAATCTTAATAAAAGTAAAACACAAAGACAAACATAAAGTGGGTTTTTTGAAACAAAATGTATTCATCTACAAATTATATCAAATTAAATATCTGGATACTTGATTCACATTTATAAATATCTGATCATCATTCATTAGATCAAGAGTTCATTTCTGTGTCTCAAATGTTGCAGGATCTTTTCACTAACCTCATTTTTCTTCATCATTATTGAGTCTCAATGTCTTTGAATCAGCTGGATTTTTAATGGATGTCTTCATTTTCAACAGCAGATCTATTCTTTTATCATTTCAGATCATATAAACCTCAAATGTTTTGCTTGTAGTAAACATAGCAAGTGAGTGTCAAGTGTAAGTGTAAGTTTGTGCAGTGTAAGTTTGTGCAGCTTATTCACAACGTCTGATTTAGTATTTTCTCATCAGACAAGATTTTTAAGGGTTTCTTAAGAGTCCAATTGCTGTTTGTGCTCACAGTATCTGATGATCAGCAGGGTCACAGATGAACTTTAAACTGTGATATTTGAATTCCAGGAAACATACTGAGGTCAATAAAACACAATATGCTGTCGCTGTCTGCTGCCATTAACGGTAACACACAAAACACAAACTAAACACCAGCAATCTATATTTTCCTCAGTATGAGGAGTTTCTCTCTTTCTCCTCATTTACTCCTCTATAAATCTCTCTTTCTCTCTCATTGGCCTCTTGTTTGAAGTGTAATCAATGTTAACACAGTGTTTGTGCTGCTGAAGACTCTGAGATTGACGGATGATGTTACTGTGGATCATCTCAGGAGAGCTACTGTGTCTGTCTGTGTGTGCGTGTGTTCGTGTTTCTTTGCTCTCACCGGTTTTGCACCATGATCATAGTGACCCAGTCAGATGGGTAGACATGTTTACCAATCAGATCTTTAAACAACAGAAATGTCTCCATCAAAAAGTCCTACAAAAACACGAACACAAGATGGTTAACTGCTGTATTCAACAGACAGACAGACAGACAGACAGAGAGAGAGACAGACAGATAGATGACAGACAGACAGATAGAACGTAAGATATATAGAACAATAGAACAATATATAGAATGATAGACAGAACTATAGAATGATGAATGGATGGACAATGGATAGATACAGTAGAAAGATAGAAAGATAGACAGAATGAACAACTGAACAATAGAAAGAACAAACGATCAATAGAACAAATGACAGACTGATCGAAAGAATAATAGCTATATAGGGTGATAGACAGACAGACAGTGTCTCACCACTAGATCTGTGGTTCCGCTGAAGGTCTCTATGTAGCGTGAATAGTGTCTGTCGTCCATCTGACTGAGAATGGCCGTCATACAGGCCACCACACGAGACTAGAATGAGACAGAGACACAGACATACCTGGGAATCAAATCTAAACTTCAACAATAGGGTGATTCTATAAATGCAGGCACATTTGGTGTCCAAAGTCATAATTTTTTCAGCTTTTTTCAAATATTCATTTGAATCATACAGTTATATTCCGTGTACAACTGTTGGCGCAAGCTAGATTAAAGTGATTATTACGTTTTGAATATGGATATTTTCTTACAAAAACACATCGACTCGCTACAGGAGGCCTTTGTTCACCCCCCGGAGCCGTGTTTAGCACTTTTTATTATGAATGGATGCGCTTTATTTCACTTCTTTTGGATTGATAAACTGCAACACCCGCTAACTGCCATTAAACAGCTTGGAAGATCAAAGAAAATTTTTAATATAACTCCGATTGGATTCATCTGAAAGAAGGAAGTCATATACGCCTAGGATGGCTTGAGGGTGAGTAAATAATGGGCTAATTTTCATTTTTGGGTGAACTATCCCTTTTTACAAACAAACTCGCATGTTTATCATGAGGTTGAATCCAGTTATTTATTAGTCAGTTACTTATTGACGCTTTTCTTTCCATCTTGAATAACATGCCTATATATACAAATTTAAAAAAAAATAGAAAACACGCCTGGATATAGGATATAGGCTACAGCAGTCGGCTTAATTAAATGGCACAACAGGCATAATAATAATCGGCAGGGATCCCCAGACCAATACAATTAGTGTGCCTCCTCTATTTTAAAACCCACGAGCCGCCACTGATAACATGACACTTCCATAACACGTTTGTATCCAGTTTAGCATCGTTCCCATAGCCATGATTTAAGACGGTGTTTCTCTGGCATTTTCAAAGGCACATAAAATGTAATACTGTGGCTTGGCTTGATACGCAGTCTAATGGTCAAATGAAATCCAATTTTAAACATCTTTTACTGTACCATTTTATGTACCAAGATTTATTTGTGGATCTCATTCTATTTATTTGTCAATATGTTTAATTTTTGTTA